TAWWWTKKRSAYMWMAMWCWTGAGGGCAAATGACTTAAATAAGAAAAGTTTAATATGATACTACAACACAGGGATTTACTAAACGATTAACTTTAAGCTTTATAATGCGCTTTCTTCCTTTTGTTAATCGACGCTGTTAAAATAATGAAAAATGAGACCAACTAATAGGATAATATGGAATAGTACAATTTGTGATTGCAATGGAGAAATTGAGAAATTTCCAGCTACAAAAACAAGACTTCCTTATCATTACARAAGGATTTGAAACTATGAAAAGGCTCAAATAAGCGCAAATTTTCATGGTTCTGTATTTCAAACCGATTCAAAAAACGATAAACAAACCTCAATTATCGGTGTGATAGTTTGTCAGTTAGCAAAGTTACGATAAACTTGCCTATTGAGCTACGGATAATATAAATCTTTCCATCTACTTACGTTATTTTCCCAAAAGGTTGCAATACTTGTATCAAGTCGGTTTCTTTGCATCCGTCGGCAACAGCTCGACAGTGTATAACGCGTGAGGGGGGAGTATGATGATGAGCGATGCTATTGCTGCTTGATGAAGGRAAATGACTGGATGTAGACAGTAAGGTGACTGCTGACGATGTTGGCGAGAAAACTGCAAGATAAAAGAAATCACTTTAGCAGACTAATTAACGTCAAAGTATACTTTGCTTAATCAATATCATGCTTGATTATGGCGTCTTTCACTCAAGAAATTCGCGGGCATTTTTTCGGCAATTCAAGGCTTTATCTTAAAAGCAGCTCTGTTCATTTGCCTGGTATCGGCGTTTGGTATAGCAAAAGGAACTGTTCCTAAACTAAAGCATTAAAATCTCATTCAAGAGCCGGGAAACGTCGGCCGAATTTAAAAGCAAGTTGACTGAAATAGCTACTGAACGGAAGGAATCTTTGAAGTCGGTTCTGGATCAATATGAAAGGAAAAGTGTAAAGCTACACTTGAAAAATAACTACATATGAATGAAATAGTCGAGGGCAATGTGTGCATAACCTAACAATATAATAACTACCTTAACGAAGAGTGAGCCAGAATTGATTTAAAGGAATCCAACACGTTCAATATTGTTTATCTCTTCAAATCTCACACATTCAGTCATATAGTAAATGGATTTCCAGCAGAATCAATCAACTTATCCATACGAATGTACGAAATGTAAAAAARGTACGAAGAAAACTGCTTGAAGTGAAAAATGAACGACGCTAGCATGATGGATAGCATGCCATGAGCGAAGCACTGACGCGAGACAACGACAACATACTTCGAGTTCTAAAACCCAAATGTCCTTTTACAGACCTTACTAGTTACACCTCTTGGTGATTAGTAAGGCATTTTGCTCRCTAATTGTCATATTTTACTAAAGATCAGAAGCTAGCAGAATCCYMCAGACCGTGTATATACCATATAAGTCATTTCCACTTGACCGAGTAGGATGGCATATGAATGACCCGCGCTAAATCGTCTCTAAACACCTAATAAAGAGCCCAAATATTGCATCCGACAGTTYCATTTGAAGTGACATTGAAGCAAATATTTCAAAGTACTGAATCAGACATTTTCGCTCGAAGATAAAGATCTGTTGTCGTCAGGGTAACGTCAAAGTAAAGGAATTCCAAAAAAATCGGCAGTGCGCGAATAAAAGCTGATAAAAACATAGTTTAATTGACAAAAATGGGATAACTGGAAAAAAATTAAAGTTGAGATAATGAGAAATAAATCTAAGAAAGTTTAGATTMAAAACCTTTACTTATTTTAAGAGAAAAATTGCATTTTTAAGCGTTTCCATGGTAACTACGGAGACAATTGAATGTTGTCATAGTAACCATATATAATAGATCAAATCCCACTCTTAAAGTTAGATTTTTTCGGTCAGTTTCAAAAGCTTTAAATTCTAATCCAATTTTTTGGTTACCGCTTTWTATRTGGGAGTGGRAGTCTGRAWAGGAAGAGGGTTGCAGACGAATCCTTAGAACAATGAATGCTAATTAGGYGATGCCTTCAGGATTTAACCTTTTTAATGCAAACAATATGTGCTCATCGATATGAACTCCGGATATTTGGTTTCTGATGCGTTCTGATAACCATAAAATAGTGTGATTAAAACTGGGGACCAACACTGAATGAAAACGTTCAAGGAAAATCGTGACATGGTATCATTGCGGTTAGAAAAAATCGGAAGTGGTGACAAACAAAACCAGGTTACGAAAAGGGCGTATAGCTACCGAAGGGCCTAGTGGCCGCCATGAAACCACTGTAATCTGGTTTCAAAAATAAGGTCTAGTTTCCATAGAATCGTTCCAATCGTCCCAAAATACGTTTTTCATTTGAGAGAAAACGAGAACAATGAAAAACGCGTTTAAGAGCGATTGGGACAATATCCACGATTGTATGGACAATAGGCCTAAAGTAACTTCACCCTTTCAAACGCCGAACCTAACATGTGATGATTTCTATGAAAATGAGATTACAAAAAGCAAAACAGAAAATATGAGTTSAAATMAATATACGATCCTAAAAAATKKTCCTACTAAATGCATGTCCACACCAACGTGTCTTCGTGTCGTTTTTGTATTGTAAATACCCAAACACCGATCAACCTAAACTATTCAAACTACTAGCCATTTAAACAAAAAAGCGAAAATTTGTATGACAACTCGCTTTGTTCCAAATCTCACGGACACAAATATCATTTCCTTGGATGATGAAGGTCATTGGTCAACGAAAACGACGTCTCTGATACTTAAAAAGGAAAGGTCTGGYGAAACATCATTCGTTCAATGAGATGAAAAAAGTTTGGTTTCAAATTCCAGGTCAATTCATGTTGCAGCCAGTCTAAGAGCGATTACTGGCGACGTCTGTCTGGATAATAGTGATCATGTGGCAGGCAGCAGTAATTTAGGCAGGAAAGAGCCAGTCACCRCGTGGTGATTCATTACGTCAGAGCTTTCTCACTGATCGCCCACACCTAATAAACTGTCACGTCCATGATAGCAAAGCGAGGTACATATGACCKGGGGATGACTAAATCAAATGTATATATAAATAGATATTGGTAATAATCATTGTTGACAAATGACWCATTCATCCTGACCAATGGTTATTATGCTAAGTAAGGTTTACGGTTATAAAGATAAATAAGCGAAGACATCGCTAAAACACAATGGCATTTTGACTAAGATTAGAGTTGATGATGATGGTGACTATGGAATGGTGATGATGAAGATGAGCATATGTCAATCACTCGACCATTCAATCGATGTCATAATCATCAAGTCATCATCAGATCATGAACGGCAAATTAGCAACAGCAACAACAACAACAACAACAACGACAACAGTAACGACAACAACAACAACAACATTTGTTAGCAAATATAAAAGTACAAAATTGTATGCAGAAATCTYGGAAATAGTAGAGCTAAGAAAAAAGATTCCAATCAGTTTTAATACTTTGGGAATCATTCAACGCTATGGTATAGCCTACGACCTGCTTACCCAAGAAATGATCATAAAATGCCCCCCAATAAAGCGATATTTCATAACCTACAAGGCAATTAACGTTTGCTAACAGCATATTTGATGCTATCACAAAACAAGTGACACCTGACAAAGGGCGTCAATGACTACTCTGCCCTTTTCTATAAGTTCTATGTTGAKCCCAACAAACAACTTTTGCCAACGTCATAAGACTAGATTTCCTAAATCTAAAAAAGCTTTAAATGCAGACTTTTAAGACGGTGAAGTAATAAATAAAAGACTTTATCGCCCGAGGTGGAGTGATCTCTATCGAAATAGACATGACGTCAGTCTGTCAGAAAGTCTTCTCTACAGCGTACTTACTGACATCTCTAAATTGTACAGAATTGTTTTACTCTATAAAACGAATACAAATCTCAAAATAAATAACAATATATCTTTAATTCAAGTGTAATACCTCTACATTAAACTACACAGCAATACACTGAYACACTTATGTCGTTCCACAATGAAAGATTTCGTCTTTCGACTTTCGGCAGAAACAGCGCTTTGAGATTTCAAATAAATACAGCATTATTATTAGTTAAGAAAAATAAGAAATAGAATGGGAATTTTAGAAGCGGAAACATGSATGTTTATTAGCTGGGAGCTCAATCGCTGGAGAATGTTTCTTTAATGGTTACAACTGTCATAAAACCATTAAATGTACGTGCAAAGATATAGTTCACATTCACGATCTATTTCCTTTGATAATGATGAAGTGCAGTTGAGGGGGAAAAAACCAGTTCATTAAAAATAATGTGAWGAATTGATTTGACAATTGATTTGTTCACSCTGSTGAGAAAAATTCTTGAAAAACACTAACATGCATARATGCAATTTAATGTCTAATGTGCCGTGTATCCGTTCCGAATTATTCGCRAATTTGCTGCGCTGATATCGAAGCATATGATAGCTAAGCAGTCATCATTGATAGATGAGACGCTTTCGTTAAACTGAACAAGGAGAAGGTTTTCCATTTTACTTGTATGAATGCACCTTAAAAAAAGGAGACTTCATTTCTTTTTCGATAATTTCTGGGCATTTTGCTTAAAGATAGCTGAAGAGAATTAGAGACTGTCTGGGTTAGACGTCTACAAGGAACGTCAGTAATGGCTTTCAAGTGATACTATACTAGTTAAGACCCTAAATAATAAAATACAATCAAGTTCTTTAYAGCGATAAAACATTTTACTGGRCCGCGTGAAGTAAAAGAGCAATTGCGAAGAAACAAAATTTCTTCTTCCTTTTTAACAGAAGCCACTGAAGATAACACGAAATTGCATCCAAAAACATCCATGTATCCGTGAATTATATATACAAACTAACTAGCTACAAAATTACAAAGTTAGTAAATGTCTTTTTCTAAGATACTAGCTTTAAAATGTATTTTATCAAAACAGTTGTTTTTTTCCTGCAAGAACWCTGAAAATAAACACACAAAAAACGTCGAGAAAATGAAAGGACGCCGAGTGATAACATGCATGTTTCACGTTGATAAAAAAAAGAAACACAAAAACAAAACAAAACAAAATTGAACTGCGGACGCATACCTCCTATGGAATATCATTATATTTAATGAAGAAACGTTAACAAAAATGTTTTGGCACCCATAAGAGCAAACAGACAAAATGTCGTGAGATGAGTACCGCCAAACTTTGGAAAAGTCAACTAAAATAAGACAAACAAACCATACCAAAGGCAAACCGAACAAAATCAATCTAAACAGAAACGGCGATAATTTGTTAAGAATTTCGTACTTGATTTAAACTTAAAAAAGCTAGTGAGTATTTTCTGAATAATTAACTCGTTTACATTTGCTGTTGTTGTTGTTTTCCTTTGTATTTTTTTTSATTGYAACTTTACTTATAAATGTAGTCAGTTTCTCATTTAAAACGTYCCGACCAATTACAGCAACCATGCATACGAAAGTACTCGCTGTTTGTGTTGCTAGCTTGCACTTCAAGGCAATTGCCGCCACAAAAAAATCGATAATTTTTAAACGAGAACTATTCTAAGAAATGGATCAAACGCCGAACTAAGAAATAATTGTTTTTGATCTCATTTGCACAGGAGCGATTCTT